CAAGGTCCTGAGGCAGGAGCAGTGTGGAATCGGGGGGGAGGTGGCGGATGGGCCTGGAAATGCAGCGGGCCCAGACCCCGCAGACTCTACTGTGGCCCCTCCTGGGCTTTTGACTTCCATTCTGAGGATGCCAGCCTGAGAACATGAGTTCTTGCCTCACCTTAACCTTTTTTTAGGTCATGGATGTCTTGGTGGTCTGGTGCAGCCAGTGGAACCTTTGCAGAATAATGTTTTTAAATGCATGAAAGCCAGTGGATGCCAAAGGAGCCATTTATATGGAAATGTACAGATTAAGGCCCCCTGTAAGGGTAGCTCTGGCTGCCAGCCAGGAATGGAAGCTCAGGCATAAGAGGCTGAGCCTGGGGTTCCTACTCATCCTGCAGCCAGGGCTGTGGGCGGGGTGGGGCCGCCCAGCCTTACTGTGGTGAGAGGACAGTGTGTGGTTTCTGTTTATGTCTTGTTCACCTCGTTCCCTTCAGTTGTCCTATCGAATGTGTGTTTCATAATAGTCTAATATATTAGGATGTTGTCCACTTACACAGTTCATGACGATGTCTACATATGTTCGAGATGCTCAGCACGTGTTTGTGACAGAGTTTTCTTATCCGTCAACTCAGATGTTCACAACACAGGGAGAGTGACCCTGTAGGAAGCTCACAAATGCCACCCAGTTGGACTGCTTTCTGTTTCAGGCCCTTTTGTGGGAGACATGAATTCTTGCCATGATTTATCCTCGCTAGATGTCAGTGGTGTTTTTCAAGCATGGTTGGTTATCCTGAAGGACCCTCATCTGGCAACAGATCTGTTCACACTTCGTTAGAACTGCTCGCACCACAGAGGAAGCCTGAACTCCAGAGGGAAGCAAGGGCCCTGGGGTTGTTGCCAAACAGGAAAAGTGGCTCTGGATGTTTGCCCTAAAGTTCAGGAGTCCTGAGGTCATCCTCGCCTCTGGTGCCCTGCGCTGCCACCCAGCCTCCCTGTGCGATGCCTCCATCCACGCACCTCCTCCGTCCTCGCAGTGCCTCCGCCCACGTGCCCGCTTGCCCACTCAGTGTCTGCTAACACGCCCCTCCATCGACATGCCTGCTGCATCCACGTGCCCGCTCCCTCACGCAGTGCCTGCATCCACGTGCTCCATCGCACACTGCCCCCTGTGTGGCGTGCCCACCTCCATCCACGCAGAGCCCTGTCCATACGCCTGTGTCCGTGGGCTGCTCCCCCCTGCGTGACACGCCTGCCTCTGTCTGTGTACCGCCTCGGTCCACATGCCCACCTCGGTCCACATACCTGTCTCCATCCACGCACCGCCTCCGTCCTCACACTCCCTCCATCAGTGCCGCCTCCGTCCGTGTGCCCCCTCCGTCCACACGCTGCCTCTGTCCATGCACCCACCTCCGTCTACGTGCACCCTCTGGACTGGAGTCCTCCCTTTCAGGCTCTTCTGCCCACCTGTCTCCCGTGGACTTCGCTGAGCATTTGTGCTTCCGAGAGCTGTGGGATCCCAGTGGGGATGTTTTTGTAGCTAGGAGAAGTATCCAGGTGGAGGAAGGAGAGAAGGCGAGGGGAAGAGAGGGACAGTGAGGCAGGTAGGTAGGCAGCTCTTCCTGAGGCCTGCTCCAGGTGGCGCCAACGGCGTGCTCCTCCCCAGCACCCCTTTCTCCTCTCTCTCTCTCTTTCTCTCTCTCTGTCTCTCTTTCTTTCTGTTTCTCTCTGTCTCTCTGTCTTTCTCTCTCTCTCTCTTTCTCTTTCTGTCTCTCTTTCTCTCTCTGTCTTATTCTCTTGTCTGTCTCTCCTCCTGATTTATCCTCTCCAGACCCTCTCTCTGTCTCTGTCTCTCTGTCTCTCTGTCTCTCTCTCTCTCTCTCTTGCTCTCTTGCTCTGTTTCTTGTTTATAAAGAAAGAGCCGTTCTTCTTTTTTCACGTAAGGAAAAGAAATTCTTTTAGAAAAAAAGATGCCTAAGCCTTTAACAAAATGAGCAGAGGTTGCCAGGCGGGCTGTTAGGACGAGAGAAATGTATCGTGGCTAGGGACGGGCCCAGCCCCCAGACCCAGCCGTACTGTTGGTATCTAGAGAGATGCAGGCCGTGCGGAAAGTACTGGCAGAAGAGTGCCACCACCCTGCCTTTCGAGGAGCACTTGGCTTGTGGAAGTGGGTAGAGAGCCTGGGAATGAGGCCAGTCCACCCCGCAATTCGTGTGCCCTAACTACAAAGCTGGAGTCCCGATTCTCAGTCGTGCTTCTGCCCCCTGACGCCTGAGCCCGCCTGCTGCAGGCAGGGCAGGGCGCCTTCCCTTGGCCTTCTTGATTGTCTTGCATTTCTTATCAGTGAGTATTTGCAGACATGGCAGCGTGCCGGGAACCAGCCAGACATGGAGCGGTGTTGATGGCCCCATCCTCTGGCGTGCTTGTGGCAGCGGGGCTCAGTCTTGTTTATGCAGTTTCCACAGCCCGAAGCCATGCTGGCTGATGGAGTGCAGAGCCACATCCAGCTGCCTCTGTTCTCACACGTGCATGTAGCCACCAGGACGCCAAGATCGCTCCCGGGTAGGACAGCGGCTTGTGCCTTGGATTAAGGAAGAGGCCTCACCATTTGTTGGGAAATAGCTAAACTGTTCCTCAAAATAAAACAAAGTAAAACTAGTTAGAGGAGTTCAGCGAGAGGAAAACCACACATTTTGAAATGAAAAAAAAAAAAAAAAGCCTGAAGATGTCCAGGCTCCTTTTTTTCCAACTTTCCCCTGTCCTTCAGTGTGGCAGCCTGTGGTGGACATTGGTTCAGCTGTGGTATTGATTCTGGGACTGACTACCTCTGCTTGTTTTGTAGATTGATTTCCTCAGAGCCTTGTTGCTTTTGGGGTGTGCTGGGCCCCAGGTTCCAGGACCTCCCACTATCTGAAGCCTTGGGGGCAGAGGGCGTGTGAGTGACTCATTCCCCTTCCTTTGTTTGTGCCAGTGTCCCCTGGAAAAACAGCTGGTACGTGATCAGCAGCATTAAAGAATGATGACAGCGTGCCCCTCCACAGGGCACAGGGTTTCTCCTCTTCCTATCTATACGCCCTCCCTCAGAGCAGTCCTAAAGAACACTTTCCATCCATATACTGAGAAAATATTTCAAACATAAAGAGCTCTCACCTGCCAGAGGGACTCCAGGCTTGGCCTTCTGGGGCTGTGACCTCTGAAGGGTTTTACTGACAGCAGGTTATAGCCGTCCCCTGTGGCCTCTGCAGACACGGATGGTAAGGAAGTGAGAAGGCCTGAAGATGGCCACGTGCGAGGCCCAGACCTGTCTCCTCACAGCTTATGCAAACCTCACAATAGGCATGGCTCTGTGGTAAGCGCACCCCCATTTAACAGACAGGGGCACCAAGGCCAAGGGCCTGCCTGAGCAAGATCCCGGGTGACACCCCCACGGCTGCCCCCTCTTCAGCCGACACCTGTCTTCTAAATTTCTAAATTTCTAGCTTGCGGGAGCCAAAGGTGACCTTGACACATGTTCAGTGACTCTTTTCTTGTCCTGGTTTCCAGAACTGAAGGCTTCCTCCCATGCCGGCAGCCTCTGGCATGTCTCCTCAGTCCACTTAGAAGAACGCCCAAGTCTCATGCCTCTTCTCTGTGGTGCCTTCAGAACAGCATCTCCCAAGGGCAGCATTTAATGAAATAAAATGTTCAGGCGTCTCTGGGTGAGACAGATGGAGACTTGGAGGTGCTTTGTAGTTGGGCGTGGAGGGAGGCGGGGTGGAATGAAGAAGTAGGTCAAGCAGGTACCTGGGCGTTTTCTCCCATTAAGCCACCTCTGGAGGTGTCGCTGTTGAAAATGGGACACAGTGGGACAGTCACAGAACTCTGGAGCCTGGGGACCCTGGAGCTAGGAGCTGGCAGTGGATGATACCAGCTGTGTGATCTTGTATGTGCTAGACATGTCCTACTAACACAGGATGCACATGTGTATAATTCAGCTCCTCCAGACCTTGAGGTCCATACATGACTATCTCCAAGAAGACAGACATGGAGAGGGGTGCTAGCTTGCCTGAGGCCAGACAGTTCCAGGTAGGCCTGGGACCCCAACCCCGGCGGGGGCTTCAAGGTTCTTCACCACCACTCGCCTGCCTCTCAGGACAGACACTGGAGTGCCATTTCCTGAGTGTATAGGGCTCCAGAGCTTATTTTCTTTGTAATTAGAACCAGTCCACTCTACAGTTGGAAAGGTAAATATTTGTCATGTTTGATGACAGACATGATGGGTTAAAAAAGTCTAAGGCAGAGTCATTTACCATCTCTCCTTGATCCACCATCTGCCTTCCCTAGCCAAGGGCACTTGAGCACAAGGGTGTGGAGTTCATGCTCATAAAGGGTTTCTTGTGGCTAAAACCTTGCTCTACAAGGTTTAACATATTTTGTAACAATATATATTGCTGTCTCATGAACACTCTGGAGTCATTAAGTAATGAGTTTCCTACCTGGACTTTGGGGACAGTATTTTCCACAAGTGCTAGAGTGGCCAGGTGATTGTCTCGCACCCAGATGTGGTCCTTTCTCCTGGCTGTGTGTTGTTTATTTGCTGGAAGGAGCTACAGCTCTGGCAGCCTGTGTAGCTCCCTACCCGTCGGCTGTGCGGCCATGTATAGCAGGAGAGAGGGAGGCAAGCCTGAAGTAGAAAATTGCTGTAGATTCTGAAGGAAATAGAATTAGAAGCATTTGTGGTTCAGATGAAAATAGCACACTTCCTTTCTGCCTGGACCATGGAGTTGAAGTGCTCCAGAGGGTAGATAAGAGTGGTTCCCAGGCAGGGCGAGGAGGGCTCCAGCTCTGGGGAAGCGTGACCGTTCCGGGCTCAAGGGTCTTGGGCAGCCGCCTTTGCAAGCAGGACTCCAGGAGGCTTGGGGAGAAGTGGCGTCCTGTGTCAGGAGATGTTTTAGGAGTGGACGAGACTGAGCCCGCGATATACCCGGCAGGGCAGGGCCTGGTGCTGCTGCTGACCTGGCCTCCATCTCCTCTTGCAGGTGAGAAGCCTTACAAGTGCTCCTGGGAGGGGTGCGAGTGGCGTTTTGCACGGAGTGATGAACTCACGAGGCACTACAGGAAACACACAGGTGCGAAGCCCTTCAAATGCAACCACTGCGACAGGTAAAGAGGGGGGCTTGCTGCCGGGGAGGTGATATGGGCTGGAGGGTGGGTGACGCAGGGGCTTGTGGACAGACCCCAGCCTGGGAGCGGAGAAGGCAGCGAGGGAGCAGCCCTGTGCGGGTTGTCAGGACGTAGTGTGGACTCTCAGTTCAGTGCTCGGGCGTTGACGAAGCCACAAGCTGTGTTGCTGGGCGCCAGCCAGCCTGGCTCCCACCTGGGGGAGACGCAGCAGTTGTAGGGTGAGGTGGAAGTGGTGGGCAGAGAGCTGTCACCTGTGGCCGCACCCTCTGAGCTCACCAGCCTCGCACTCTGTTCCCTCATCTTCAGCCATGTGGGGTGCAGAGGCTGCTCTGGAAGGAGACTGGCCCCGAGGCCCTCCTCTGAGGTGTCACTGGAGAGCACACCTATTCTCCGGGCCCTAGTCATTCTTTCTTCCTTGAAAACGGGGCCAGGCGCAGACGAGGCCTGGGTGCCTCGTCCCGCCACTTAAGTCCAAGCCTTCAGCGTTTGCTGGTGGAAGAAAGCAGGAGCCGCAGACTCTAGCCAAGTAATAGCATCTGACAGGCCTGGCATTACCAGCCAGTCACCCCGAAATGGAGACTCTGCAGGCCAAGGCGAAGGCAGGATTCGGCTGAGACATAATCAGATAGTGGGCTTGCGTCTGAGAGTGCTATCCCTCTAATCCCATTTCTGTGTTTCAAAGGAAGCTTAAGAAAATTTTTAATGTAATACTAAAGGTCTCGGTCATGATGAGAAAAATACCTCTAATATGATAAAAGCCCGGAGAGCCTCAGGGTCCCTGCTCACAGGACAGCAGCAGGGCTGGACTCTTCTCCAGAGGAAGCATGATAGCCTGTGTCCCCTGCCCCAGTCCCTGTGCCCATACCTCCCTCCCACCAGGCCTCTTCAGGGGTTGTGTTGTCTATGTGGGGACAGAACAGCGTGCCCGAGCCTCGTGGGTGGCCACGTTGGCCTGGTGTTCCCTTGAGATGTTCACAGAAGAGTGGTTATGTTCTTCCTTCTTTTTCCCTTTTTTCCTGAAGAAGCTATTTTCCTCTTAATTTTCAACCACTAAATAAAAACCCCATGCCTCCTGGAGCCTGGCGAGAGCGTCCTACCCAGGACTGTGGAAGCACACGCCACGTGGCCCATGTGTCCTGTCCCTCGGAACTCTGTTCTGCTGTCCCAGAATGCTGGTCGTTGTTTAATCTCCACCCCATTGCTGGAGTCCCCTGGGCGTAGGTGAATGGGCTGTGGTCTGCAGCGCATGCCCCGTGGTGTTCCTGTCTCCCGGCTTCCTTCAGCTCCCATCTCTCTCTCGTTGGCTGATAGAGAACTTGCAGATGGCGGCTGCCCATGGCTGGGGAGGGAGGGCGGTCCATTCTGTCAGCTGGGCCCAGAGGAGTCCTCTTTGAGTTGTCAGCTGGTCGGAAGCTGGACCAGCCCCCGCTCCAAAGTGTGTGGGACCGTGGCTTGGAGGCTGGGAGCACTGTGGGTTACTGCAGTGCTTGTGAGTGGACAGAGTCACTAGGGGACACTTTCAGAGCTCAGATTCACTCTTCACATCAGCTGACTTGCTGAGGAGTCTGCAGCCCTGCGGCATTTGTTTGTGAGAATGAAATTGGCTGTTTGTGTGACTTGTGGGGAAATTACAAATTTCCCTCTGGGGTGAGGGAAAGGTTACAGTGAGGGAGATGGGCAACTCAGCCCTTTGCTCTGTGGGCTCCATCCAAAGGCATCACGATTTCTGGAGCTAGAAACGTGCTGAGCAGATGCTGCAAAGTCTGCGGCCTGCTCCTTGGAGGGAGTGAGGCTCTCAGAGCCCTGGGATGTAGGCCAGCAGTGCTTTCTCCACAGAGCCGAGCATGGGGTTGGGCTCTCTGGGCTGCTGACAGAAGAACTTGTGTTCGGCTGCAGCAACTGTGCTAAGAATAGCCAGGCCAGGGAGGTGGTGTGGGGATCTGGAGTGGCCCCAGGGCCAAGGAAGGATGGCCTGGGGTGCCTGGGAGCTGGCATCTTGTGGATGTTTACCTTCAGCACAGAGGGCATCTGCGGCCTCGGCAGGGCGCCATGCCCTGTCGATGTGGCGGCGTGCGCGAGCGCTGTCTCTTGCCCCGTCTCTTGCCCCTGACAGCAAGCAGCCCAGCTGCCATGTTTGGAAGCCGAATAGGGCTTGGACTTCCTTCCTTAAGCACATACGAGGTCTAGCTTTGCTTGTATTTTGCCTCCAGGGTAGTTAAAAATTCCCTGACTTTTTGAGGGGTTTCTGACCAACATGTAAAGTTGTTAAATATCACACAAAAAAGTGCATTTCTGGCTTTGCCTGGGAAAGTCAGATCTGGCTACAGTGGGCTCATATTCTCATGTGGCCATGTGGCTAAGCTGGACAGCAGTCACTGCCTTTGCAAGGGCCGTGGTGACACGACACATCCAGCGACACATCCAGTGTTCCTGCAAGCTCCACATCCGTAGGTGGGTGTCAGCTTTGGGTGTCCTCTCGCCTGCTGGACTTTCTCCACACAAAACAGCCCCATTGCTTTGTATCTGTGCCTTCTCAGAGGTGGAGATGGGTGGGGCCAGGACACTGGGGTCTCATATGCCTGACTCACCTCCGCATGCCTGAATGTGCGGCCTGCGCCCTGCAGTTAGGGTCAGAGTGGAGGCAGTGAGTTACAATGAGCAGCTGGTGCCAGCGGGGCTGCAGATGTGCTGCACCCGGGACTTGGTTTTCACTGGGGGCACAGGCAGACCATCGCCCTTCTGCTTAGCTGCTGTCACCGAGACTGCAGTTGGTGTCGTGTGTCCTCATCTCAGGCAATGTGGAGGAGGCATTTTGATCCAGCCCACTTGTAGGCGGCTTAGCCCTTTGGTCCCCTGGAGGATTGCTGCTGGCCCAGGACCTGCATGACTCTAGTGTGCCTTTCCCTAGGAGAAATGGCTAGTTCCTCACTATGTAGAAATCTCAGTCTTTAAGGACCATCTTGTTTAGGGTCATCTGGCTGCTGCTTGGTTGTATAAACCTTCAGGGGTGTGTTATCCTTCAAATGTTGTGATTCTGCATTTCTGGATACCACGTTTACCTGCTGCCTTTTACTGTTCCTATGTGGAATTCAGTAAGTAATTATAAATTAGTCATGACAGTTTCTCGCTGCAGTATTGAATGTAAATGAGAACCTCAATTGTGAGGGATCTGGTCTAATTCCAAGCATCACATATTTTCTAGAATTTGAACAAATATTGATGCTCACTTGATTCTGTAGGGGTGTAGTTGCATGATATTACATGTTAAAAATTGGGTTTGCTTTTTCCACTTTTTTCCCCCAAAAGGACTTGAAGGACAAAGGCAGATGCTTGTGTCTATATGGCCAGATACCAGCAACTGGTAAAGGCAAGGCAAAAGTCAGACACATGCGCTACTGAATGGTTCTTTCAAATGAAGTTCTAGGTCAAGAATACTGACTTCCTGAAAGTCACCAGGATGCAGAAGGGCAAGGAGAAGGGTTGAGTCACTGCCAGGGCTTGTCTTCACTTCTCGGGCCTCGCGGCTCGTGTCCTCTCTTGGATAGGCAGAGCTCCTCTGTGCGTGCTGCTGCTTTCTCACGGGCACTCTGCAGGTACTTACTGCTCGGGCTTGAGCAGCTTGGCCTCTAGGTAACATTTCTATTTGCTGCTGTGATCACTTGCCACAAATTTAGCATCATGTTTCTCTACAAGTTTATTATCGTACGATCTGTAGGCTAGACGCCCAGCCTAAGCCTCACTGGGCTCAAAGAAAGGCCGCATTCTTTTCTGGAGGCTCTGGGGAAGTATCTGTCTCTCTGCGTTTTCCAGCTTCGAGAGGCTACTGCAGTCCCTGGCTTATGGTGCCCCTTCTTCATCATCAGAGCCACTGAGTCCTGCACATGGCTCCATCACCCATCATCAGAGCTTTTGTGTCTTTCTGGCCCCATCCCTCCATCATCAGAACCTTTGAGTTCTTCTCATGCTGACATCTCTGGGTCTCTCTTACAGTTCCCTCTTTTATCATTAAGGACCTTTGTGATGGCATTAGACCCAACCAGATAATCCAGGATGACCTCCCTATTGAAGATCAGCCGATTAGTAAATTTATTCCATCCACAACCTTACTCCTTTTCCATGTAACCAAACACAGAGTGTTTTAGGACATTTGGGGAGGGGCGGTTCTGTCTTCCACAGGATCCTAAAATTGCTAGCCCAGCTCTGCTTTCTCCTCAGCCGGTAAAGCAGAGGTGGCCAAGAGCACCAACTCTGGAATCAGATGACCTGGGTTCAGATCTTGGCTGGCCTCTCTCCAATGAATGCCTCATGGGACAGTGGAGATAGGATGGCACCTTCTTCAGAGGGTTCTTGTGAGAATTTGAAAGTTTACAAATACCTGCAGAGAGAACTTCCTAACTTGGATCTTCTTCTAGGTGGTTGGGATAAAGGAAGGAGGGGAAGAAGGTCAAGGGGGCCAGGAAGGCAGGCAGGAAGGAAGGGACGGAGGCAGCGGCCGGCCATTGTGTGTGTGCCCTCAGGACAGGTCAGGGTTAGCCAGTCCCACCGAAGTCCCTGCAGGCTCCATTGCTTTCGCGGTGTGCCCGTGACATGGAGTAGAGACTCACTGACGCTGCTTGGTGGCACGTCAGATCCCTTTAGAGGTGTCTCTAAGGATCGTTCACGTGTCTTGGCCAGAACAGGTCAGGCCTGAGCCGAGTGGGGTGACGGGAATGGTTCTTGTCCAGCGTAGTGCTGGGCTGGCGTGCTTCTGCCGTGCTTCCCCCACGCTGACATGGTTTCCGTCTCACCCCTGCCCCATCCCCTGCCTTTCTCTGGTTCTGTCCGGCACAGAACACACTTCAGGAATGGACGCAGACAGGGGGTGGGAGGCTGTTGCGCTCAGGGGGGAGGCGGGTTTTCTGCCCGGCTGTTTCAGGCGTGAACGAACGCCGGGAGGTCTTGACTGGACAGGAAGCCCGCTGAGCTGACCAGGGACGCTGGCCCTGTCCTAGCAGAGGTGTGGGACTGGAGGGGCCTGGGCGCGCTCTCTCAGGCGGGAGGAGGGCCCAGCAGGAGGGCATCCACCCATGGATGGAGCTGAGAGTGGCCGCTGTCGTGCGTGCTGGCTTCTCTGAGTCTCCCCAGACCCTCGGTTGCAGGCTGCGGAGTGCACTGGGCGCTCCAAGATGTGGATGCCCAAGACTGGTGTTGGCTGCAGAGGGCATTTGTGAGCTCAGGTAACTAGAACAGCAGGAGGAGAGGTGTCTTCAGGCTTGACTGGATCCAGGCTCTCGCATGCTGTTGTCAGGACTGTCTCTTCTTGTGCCCCAGATCCCCTTTCCTTGTTGGCATCATTCTCATGGGGCGCCTTCCTGCGGTAGCAGTGTGGACACCAGCAGCCCCAGGCTTCGGTCTCAGCAGCTCAGCATGCCCCGTGGAGAGAGCCGCTTTCTTCCTGTTGTCTCGGCAGGCCCCCCAGTGCTAGTGCTCCCTGGCCTTGATAGGTCATGTGACTGTCACTAGCAGATGACTGTGGCCACGACGTTGTCTAAGGAGCAGGGTCAGCCCACGGGTGCAGGTGTGCAGGTGTGCAGCCCCGAAGGTATCAACTGCTGAGTTGAGGGAGGGGTGAGGAAGGCACCCCACATCCACTCTGAAGCCAAGGAGTCCACACAGTTGTGGGCCTGGCTTCCAGGAGCTACCTGAGGCCTGACCCAAGCCTGTCACTCACTAGCCATGTCAGTTTCCTTGCACACATGCCCATGCCTGGGTGAGAACACTTGCCACAGAGGGTTGCTGAGGCAGCTCTGGGCCACGCTGGGGAATTGAGCACAGCACCCACGTGTCAGCACACACTCAGTACCACAAGCGCCCTCCTCCTTTCTTCTCTTTTGACTTCACGGAGTGTCTGTACCGAAGTGCCATAGGCAGTGTTTCTGGGCTCCTTCCTGCTGTGAAGCTCAGGGTTGGGATCTGGGTGTTGACTTGCCAGAGTTCTGCCACTCGAGGGCACAGATTGACTCCTCTTTATCGTGTCCACAGTACACAGGGCACTGCCTGGTTGCCAAAGCGCCGGTGCATTCTTTTCCTCTTTAACAATCATGGTTACGATGGTGATGGTCAGCAGCACTGAGCTCTTGCTGTGTGCCAGGCAGTGCACTGCGTGCCTTACAGGGCGTCTCCTGTCGTCCTCACAGCCCCCTGAGGTTGGCACTGCAGTCGCTCCCACACAGTTGACCAAGAATCCAGACACAGAGAGATCCCGTGCTCAATCGCCCAGCTACTAGAAGAGCTGGGGTGTGGCCCAAGCTGCCCAGCCCTTGCACATACCCTCCACTGCCAGCCTGCTTCTCAGCACACGTGTGCTGTCTGTCTTTCGCTGCCTGAGGAGTGGGGGACTCCGGAGCGATCCCTGGCCTTGCTGATGTTGTGTTGTCTATCTCCTAGGTGTTTTTCCAGGTCCGACCATCTGGCCCTCCACATGAAGAGACACATCTAAGTCCCAAGGCCGGAGCCTCTGTGGCACCAGCTGGCGTCTGGAGAAAATGCCATGAGAGGGGCTGGATGCCGGAGGACCCATTGCCTCGCAGAAGGTTCTCGCCAGCAACCTCTGCACACACGCACACACGCTGCCATGCACTCAGCTCTACTGCACCCAGCACGCCACCCTCCACACCTCGCCCCAGACGGAAGGAGCCGGGATGGAGCCATGGCGCAGCAAGGTTGCCTGGCCACTGTGCCAGCACCTCGGAGTTCCTGCTACTGTGGCCACGAAGGCAGAGGGGGCAACGCCTCTGAGGCAGGTGGCCCAGGCGCACATCCAGCTGGCTTCCCAGTGCAGCTGGGCAGGAGATTCCTGCATCTTAAGGCTGCGCATTTGTAGCACTGATGTTCCTTCTTAAGTCATTGGGAAGTGACCTAGAAAACCAAATGCCGTCTGGTAGTCCAAACGAACTCTTGGTTGATTTGTCTTCGTGTGCAAGATGTCCTCCTATTCTGTGCATCAGACGTCCTCACAGAACCACCAGTGGGTTCCAGTTCCTCTTCCACGCCACCCAGTGGCCTTGGCAGCCGTAGATGCAGATGACCCTGGACGCCTTCCAGCTTGTGCTCTCTGGACTCCACTCTCAGAGGAGGAGTTTTCTCTTCTTACTCCTTGACTCTTGCACACCATATGCACTAGGGATCTGGAAACTTCTAGCGTGATTGAAAAGTGGCCAAGAGAATGAAATCTTTGATGATAAGTCACAGTATATCCCTTGAGCCTCACCTTATTGCCAGTGCTAGATTTTTTTCTTTTTAACCTCTCCGTTTTTGCTAATGAAAACTTGAAAAGCTTACCTGGAAGCTTAAGCGTTGTATCTTTTCTCCATGGATTAACCCTCTCCAGGACTCTTGGCACCTGGTGTCCCTTCTCGGAGCAGCTGGCCAGACAGGACATTGCGGTCCTCTCAACCTCCTCGAGGTGTGCTGCCCTCAGCTGAGGCCACAGCCGTCTTGTGGGGTGTCATCGCCACCCCATAGCCTGTCACAGCTTAGATGTCACTGGTCTCAGAGGGCAGCTGCGTATTTAATCTAACTCTGGGTTGTGACCTACAAAAAGCCAAAAATACCACTCTTTCCAGGAGTGGGGAGCACCGAGGATGCCTCCCCAGCCTCGTGGCTCCACCCAGTATCATTCTGTCTCCCTCCTGTCCACTGCACCCCACTGCCCACGTGTTGCAACACGTGACTCAGATGCCCTGCTGGGAAGAAAGGGCTGGCGTGTAAGGTGAGGGCTAGGATGTTTATCTCGTGGGCTGTCTAGAAGGAGAGACGTGGCTCTAAGTTTCTTTCTTTTAGGGGGTTGGCCTACCATGACTTGTACCCTGGAGCCCCCAGGAGGCCTCATTCCCTCGGCAGGCTGTCTCTGGAGGTCTGCAGTCCTTCCTGGTACACCACACACATGCACACTGTCCTGTCCTCTGCCCACATTCTTGGCTGGCTGGCACTGGCCTCAACTCCAAAGTCTGCCTTTAGGACCATCACATGGCCTACGCTTGCAAGCAGGGTGGCTGTTAGGATAAACTGTATGTTTTGTATGTTCTGGGACCATCCTTCAAGACCCGTCTGAAAGCAGAAGTGGCCTTGGTCCACGCGGCTGTGGCTTGGCCCCCTAGCTGGCCCCTCCACCCTCCCATGACTGTTGACGCTCGACTGTTAAGGCGCCGCCCTTGACATGCTTGGGATGCAGAACTTTAAGAGCAGATCATAACATAAGAAACACAGTCACGCGTATGACAGTGGCCCTTGGCGCTTGGGCTTCCAGCCCCTCACAACTTTCATCTTCCCTGAAATGCTGAAACTACTCACCAGAGAGCGGAAGAGCCTCCTTGTCACGAATGCTGTAACTGCCAAGGGGACACTGGGGGCATTTCCAGGTCTGGCCCTTAGACTTTTCTTTCTCTTTTTCCTTTTCTCAATTTAGACCAAAAAACAAAAAAAAAACAAAAAAAAGAAAGAAAAAACACCCTAAACAAACACAAATCTGTTCGTTTGCCAGAGACAATTATGTGTATGTTAGTTGGAGGGTATTTTAAAAATCAGTCTTATTCCAAAGATTTGAGGGTAGACATGACTTAGAAGCGATTTCTGGAGCACTGCCTGCTGACAATCTCGTAGCTCTCGGCTGCGCTTGAGTGCGCTGTGGGCCAGTCCATCCAGGCGCAGAGGGGATCACGTGGGAGTGCAGGTGGGGGGGCCTCGAGCCTCAGCTGCACCAGCCGGTAGCGCCTTCCGCCAGCACCCTGGGTGGGACTTTAATGCATGAGCTCCCAGTCCCTTCCATTTCCTCCCACAGCAGCCTCCAGCTTGGACACACACACATGCCCGTGATGGCAGGAAGCCGTGGCCACCACCATTTGCAAATATCACCTCCCAGGCTGGAGCGGCTCTTGCCTCTCGAGATGCTATCGCTAAGGGTTTACAATACTTGATTTTATTTTTGACTGACCAATGCAAATCTGTTAAAAAGAAGCTAACAAGCAATGCAAAAGAGTAATCATGCTGTCTGCTCCCTGTGGGCTTCTGCTGTGAAGCCCTGTGGTCTCAGTGAAACATGGCATAACAGGCTGTGGTCCTCAGCAGTGACCAGTGCTCTGATCCCCTCTCATGGCAGCGCGGCCCCTCCCAGGGCGGGTGCACTGAGGTCCGTGGCGGTGCTTGCTCAAGTTGCTCCTCGCCTGTACTGACCCGAGGGTTGTGGCTTCGGCAGAAGGTTGAAGACTGCACTTCTTCAGCCTGGACTGGCGTCTGCAAGCACGACCAGGTGGCCTTGGGGTGGGGCGGCCCTGAGCACTTGGAAATGGGTTTGTGCCGAAGCGTCCATCACCTCTGAAATGGCGGAGATAGTTGCCAAGAACTCCCGGATAAACGGGTTTCTGAGGACGTGAAGGCGTTTTACTCCCAGGGGACCAGTTATTTAGAACTGCTTTGACGGACATTGGAAGCACATTAAACCCCATTCTCAGTTCAGTTGCGGAGCCCACATTTGAAAGGGAAAGTCTGGCCTGGAGTTTCTGTGGTTGTCCTGAGTTGGACGTGTAGAGAAAGAGTTTCTAAGCCACTGATGATTTTTTTTAACTTCAAGCCACACTTCTTTTTCCTACCACATGATGGCAAGACAGAGACATGGAAACCTGAAATCCCAAGGCTGTCCCGGCCTCCCGCCCTGCTCCTTCTCATGGGCCCAGCTCACGGCCTGGTGTTGGTGAGCACTCTGGAAAAGGAGCGTGCGGATTCTGTGACAGAACTGTGTTTGTGGACGTGTTGGGGGCCCTGAGATGGGCTTCGCCCTGACCGCCCTCCTACCCACACACATCTCCTGCCAAGTCCACAGACGTTCTCCTCTTGCATCTTCTCCTCTTGCACCTCTGTGCCCTTCCTGCCTCTGAGATCGCCTGATTATCACAGGGTAAAAGACAGCCAACCTCATGCACGTTCTGCAGAACTGATGCCTCGTTTTAGGAAATCTTCTTTTACGTCAGAGAAGATGTTTTAAGGACTTGAGTTTGGGATACACTTTCCAGATGATCTGTGTCTGTTTGCATCGAAGGGGAAACCCTTGGGGCTTTCAGGGGCTCTTCAGGGCATGGGAAGACGGCCTCCTGCCTTCACGCCTGTGTCCTGTGGCCCAAAGAGAGAAGCTCCACGGCAGGAACAGCAGAACCCAGTGGCTAGTTGTGATGGTTCACAATGGTTTTCTCTATGGGAGTCACTTCTTAAGATGTGAAACGGAGCAGGAAGTTCTTTGTCTCTGCTTTTGCGTGAGCTGTTTTGGAGGAAGCAGGAGGGAAAGTCAGAAAGATGCGATGCATTTAATTACAGAAATCAGGTTTGTTGTTTCTTTAAAAAAGAAGGAATCTCATGAGGGCCAACATTTCTGGCTGCAGTTTTGCACCCAGAGCATCACCAAAGTGAGCCTTCAGCAAGTAGAACCTGATGGGAGTCTGCTCTGGATGATTTCCCTTACATTTTCCAGAAGTGGCCACCATGCGCGGGTGGGGGCAGGGAGAGGCCTTGAATTCGGGTGTCTGGGTTCCATTTCGGTAAACATGGTGATGTCTCGGTTTGGAAGCTTGAGGGCCTGCCCTGAGATGCATCAGTGCCTCTGATGGCCTCCTCTCGGCGAGGCTCTTGGGACGCATGACACAAGCAGCAGGAACGCACGGAGGAAGCAGAAGCTGCTTGTCGATGATGCTGGTGTCCCAGGGCCGGTGGCCTGAGGTCCAGCTGTCCTCCTGCTTCTCACTCTTGAGTCTCCTCTGGGTGCCTGGGGGGTCCCGGAAGTGGGAGAGACACAGCTGACGTTGCCTTTCGTGCACACACCTACACAGAGCTGTGCTCTCCAGGGGTGTACACTTGTGGAAGAGTCCTCGGGAAGCAGTGTCACACGGAGCGAGAGGGCCTGGGCCAGCACATGTCCCAAGCAAGACACTCCTTCCAGCAGGGCTCCCTCTCCAAGGTTGGGAGGTGGATCTGGGCCGTGTTGGCACTGGTTATGCCGCTTCTCCCCCTGTGAGCTTTGGCGCCATAAATGGCTGGGAGTCCAGCTCTGCCCACTGCCACAGGCCGGCCCGGGTCAGCACATGAGGGCCGTGTGTGCCCCCAGACGTGCACATGCCCCGTCATACCTTCACAGAAGGAAACGGCTGCGTAGTGGAGTAGCCGCCAGTGCCTAATCTCCCTTGGGGGTGGTTGCCTCTGCTGCCAGTACACCCTTGAAACCATACGGGAGTTCTTCCCGGGGGGGGTCGCGGACCAAGGGGACGTCGGGTCCTGGGCCTTTGGGCTGAAGGCCGACAGCCTCCGCAGACCTGAGTCCCAGAGGCTCGGGGCTCCTTGGCCGCCTCTCGCCACCTTGTTTTCTTCCCAGCATGCGTGTCCTGCCTCGCCCAGACTTGGTTCCATCTCCTCACCTTTCGCTTCTCCATTCCAGGGAGGAGCATGCACCTGTCGTGG